AGGTACAGGTACCCGTCCCGCTGGCAGAGGGAGGAGACTTCCCATGCTCCCCCCTGCTGCCCCTCAGGTCAATCAGGGCCTGGGGATGGGGAACACATGAAGTCTCTGGCTCCCTTCCCCTGCCCTACAAGGGAGTGCTGCACATAAAGTCAACTGCCAACTGAGCAGCAGCTGGTAGTTGACTTCAAGTGCTGAGCCCCTTACAGTGCAGGAGGAGACTTCACTCACGCTCCCCCTACCCCCAAGGCCTCAATCCCCAGCTGTTCCGTTCACAGACCAAAAATCCCTTTAGCCTGAATCTAGCACATTCTCCAGCACACTCTCTAGTTCAGTCTTTGAGTTTTCTTGAATAGGTAGTGAAGAGCCAAGATGATGTCAATCCCCTGCTTTATATAGCTTTTGCATATGGCAGGAGCCCTTTGTCAATGGAAAAATACTGACATCCCAATGACATCTCACACAATTTATCTTGCAAAAATATATCATAACATGATTATAATAGTTTAACTTGTTATGATTATTATAATCCTAATAATATCACTGTGAAGTATAGAGTGCAATGTGACACCAGTTTTAAGTAATGGGTTATTATTTCAGCAAGTGCGCCCAAATCCTTGAAAAACCCCTGGACTACTGAAGATGATGTGAATCCAGGTGCTGCTAAACAGGAGGAGCCATGGCCAGCTTTGGCTGACCGAACTCTTGTTACTTTGGTAGAACAACTCTTCTCTCACTTACTGAAGACAATTAATATATGTGCTCATGTAGTGGATGATGTTGCTCCTGGCTCAGCAATAAAGGTATGAATTTTATTACATTAAATTACTCCAAAATGCTTGTGATTTATAGCTGCTGTTGACCTGTGCACTCGGAGAAGATTTAGGCATCCAAAATATTTTATTTGGTGGAGAGTTCAGTGAAAACATGGCATTATGGACTTCTGTGAGGGTTAACAACGTGAATAACTAGCCAGCATCCTCAATGTGTTGTGCGCTGCTGTGTCTTCACTCCTATTTTTAGCATCTCATGCTCTCTGTCTTCCATGTGCTGGGTGGATATGCCCTATGAGTGCAATGTTACCGTTCTGGTTCTAAGCAGGGTTTATTGATCCCTCTGTCTCATTTAGCCATTACCATATTATTTGAATGCTTCCAAGAATATATAAATAACAGTCTTCCTTTCTTCAAATAGTTTGAGTAAACAGTTTTTAAAATATTTGTATTTGCTTATTGAGAGAATTGATTGAGAATATCAAGTAAAAAAAAATGTTTTGCATTTAGTTTCGAAAATATTGAAGTACCTGGTCATTCCTACCTCTGGGGAAGCAAGTTGATTTTCTGTCTACTGCGTGAGCCTCCACCTTGCTGGTGGACAGCTTAATTTCTCTTGTAGAATTTAGCTCTCATGGAGCTAGGTTGTGGTCATGGGAGGAGAGATGATGTCTGAAGTCACCAACACTAATTCTGTGGAAGACTTTGAACATTAGAGCAGAGACCTTGACCTATATTCTGTATTATAGGGGAGCCTATAAAGAGGTCAAAGCACTGGGTTATGCCCTCATGATAAACTGGTGCCAAGTACTACTTTCGGTGTGGTTGGCTGGCTTGTTATATAGCCCCAAACACATTTTAAATGGAGAGAGAGGGGCTGTTTTTAGTATTTATACAATGGAAGGTTTGTTTTATAGAATGTAGTTTGAAAGGTTTTTTAAACGAGGCTAAATTTTGAGACTAAACATAATGGCCATTCAGACCATTTTTGTTAAAATCTGGGGAGGGAGAGTTGCCTGCTATAACTATAGTACAGTAAAACCTGGGTTATCCAGCATGCCCGGGGATTAGGGTGTGCCAGTATCCTAAAAATTGTGGTTATCTAAGTAGGGAGGAGGGGGTGTGGGAGCTGTGTGGGGGCCGGGATGTGGCCTGCTGGGGGGTCCAGGATGCAGCCTGGCGAGGGAGGTGGAAGCCAGGGGGCAGAGATGGATGAGGCGGCCTGCTGGGGGGGGAGAGGAAGAGGGCGGGATGCTTGCTGCTTGCTTCCGGCTGCCATTTGTCCCTCCCCCAGGTACATGCTGCACGCTCATCTAAGGAGCGGCCCGGCACGTAAAGTGCCAGTTTCCCTTTTTGTTTTGTTTTGCTTTTCCCAGCATCAGAATTTTGCTGGTTTCTACAGTTTTCTGGATGCTTAAGTTCTGAATAGCGCAGGTTTTAATGTAGTATGTTTTTGGTATTCTTTTACCTTACTGGAACCTTAAGAAATTTAGTAGTAAAACCCTTGATCTTTGTAGTTCTTATGCTAAAGTTGAACGTTAAAATACTCTTGTATTCTCCTCTCCATTCCAATACAATTGCATCCTGGCCTCCTGTCATGATGCCTCGGCTGGTCACAGCTAAGAATACCAGATTCAGGACAAACTATTGAGAAATGGGACAGACACGCTTCAAAGTCGTGGTGGTTCTTGTACAAGATATACCAAGCCAGTAGCAAAAGTAAACTTGTGTTTCACCACAGTGATTTAAGAAGTCAGAAATGCAGTTTCCTTAGGTTTCTAGTAATTATTTCACCTCCTAGACAGTAAACCATATGATGAGTGGTTATTTAAAGCAAATCTAATAAAAAAAAAGTGTTCTAATCCCACCAGATGAGTCTCCTACCCAGGTAAATATGTAACTTAGATCTTACCAATAATCATGCTGTTGCCAATCCTTTAGTATCTAATACAGTTAACTGGCTAAATGAAATATTTAATTGGTTATCTGTTCATCCACTATTTTACTTTTCCCCCCTAGTACAGTAAACTTCCGAAGATCCGGCACCTTTAGGACCCACGGGGTGCCGGATTATCAGATATGACGGATTATCAGAAGGGGGGTCTGGAGTGGGGTGGGAGGGGATGCCACCCTAGACCCCTCATAGCCCCCCCCCCCATGATAGTCCGGCTCTGCCCCAGGCGTCCCTGATTCAGTTGCTGCTGGTGAGTTTCAGCAGCAGCTGAATTGGGGATGCCTGCAATAGAGCAGCTGGGGTGCTGCCAGGTTGGTCCCGCAGCGCTGTCCTTTGGCGCTACGGGACCAACCCGGCAGCACTCCAGCTGCTCTGCCCCAGGCGTCCCTGATTCAGTTGCTGCTGGTGAGTTTCAGCAGCAGCTGAATTGGGGATGCCTGCAATAGAGCAGCTGGGGTGCTGCCAGGTTGGTCCCGCAGCGCTGTCCTTTGGCGCTACGGGACCAACCCGGCAGCACTCCAGCTGCTCTGCCCCAGGCGTCCCTGATTCAGTTGCTGCTGGTGAGTTTCAGCAGCAGCTGAATTGGGGATGCCTGCAATAGAGCAGCTGGGGTGCTGCCAGGTTGGTCCCGCAGCGCTGTCCTTTGGCGCTACGGGACCAACCCGGCAGCACTCCAGCTGCTCTGCCCCAGGCGTCCCTGATTCAGTTGCTGCTGGTGAGTTTCAGCAGCAGCTGAATTGGGGATGCCTGCAATAGAGCAGCTGGGGTGCTGCCAGGTTGGTCCCGCAGCGCTGTCCTTTGGCGCTACGGGACCAACCCGGCAGCACTCCAGCTGCTCTGCCCCAGGCGTCCCTGATTCAGTTGCTGCTGGTGAGTTTCAGCAGCAGCTGAATTGGGGATGCCTGCAATAGAGCAGCTGGGGTGCTGCCAGGTTGGTCCCGCAGCGCTGTCCTTTGGCGCTACGGGACCAACCCGGCAGCACTCCAGCTGCTCTGCCCCAGGCGTCCCTGATTCAGTTGCTGCTGGTGAGTTTCAGCAGCAGCTGAATGGGGGAAGCCTGTCTGGCTGCCCCAGCACTTCTGGGTTCCCGATGGTGCTGGACCATCAGGAGTCCCGGAGCATTGGATGCCGGACTAATGGAGTTTTACTGTAGTAACAATACTCTACATGATCATATTTTAATTATACATCATATCTCTGAACTAATAAGATTAGGTGCAACCATTGTTGAAAAAGGCAGGAGTCATTAAATGTGTATATCCCTGTAAATATAGTCTCTATTTAGACGAGGGGGAAAGTGCTGATGAGTTAAATACCACACTATTTCAAATGTTTTTACTTTAGGCAGCATTACCTTCTCTCTCAAACCCACCTTCTCTAAGTCCAATTCGTCGGAAAGGAAAAGAAAGAGAACCTGTGGAACAAACATCTGTACCAATGAGCCCTAAAAAGGGAAGTGAAATTAATCCAGGTAAGGAGGTTGTGTGTACAAGGAGTATTGTGAAGAAATACTGGTTTGCATAATTCACTTTACTGTGAAATTCTAGCATTAATTCTGAGGAAGACTGCATACAGTCAGAAGAAAGTAAAAATATTTTCAGTGCTTAAATCTTGAGTGGCAAATCTTTTTCGTAAAGAACTCGTTAACTCTTTGGGAGCAGTATGGATTTGTGCCTCTCATTGTTATAATTGTGCTTTGAATCTCATAAACTGTTGATTAAAAATAAAAATTAGTTTATATATTTGCTCTGAAAATGGAAGCTCTTTTCCTGTTCAGAGAATAGAGTGACTGATCCTGAAAAGCAAAACTCTAAACATTGAAAGTAAGAGCTTGCAGGTTTCTCTGTATCTATTGCAGAAATGGGCAGGAGTAAAAGGAGCAAAGTTTATTCTCCTTTTTGGAAGTTCTCCATAACTATTTTAGTGAGTCCTGTGTCAGTTAATTGACTTACTTTGTAGCTGATTGGCATCAGATATATTGTGGTGATGTTCTGTAAATTCTGGTCCTTTGAGTCATCCTCTGAGCTTAAATCACAGTTCTTATTCTAATCATTCAAATATATATGTTGGTTCATTTTACAGTGCATTTAAAAGTGATTCATTATATTCCATAGAGTTCATCCATATTTAATTTAATGTGTTCATTGATTTGTTCAGGATTATTTTTCTGTTTTAATAAGCTGCTAGGCAAACTGATACTTCAGGTCCTGCTCCAACAAGCAAATCATCATTACTGGGCAGTTTCTATCATCTTCCATCGTATCTCAAGTTATATGATGTCTTGAAAGCTACCCATGCGAACTATAAGGTACAGTACCATTTCCTTTAGATGAAATGAGAACTCTTTTCTGATAGTGTTACACTATCCAGTGTTGTAAGTTTCATATTCTTTACATGTTTGTTATTTGAGCGCTTGTTGAATATATTGTAAAGAGATGTAAGTGAGTAGTCGACTACTTGCATTCCCCTTTCCCCCTGCTGCCTCTTTAGGGGAGGAAGGGTAGGGGAGACTGGCATGAAGTAGCCAGGAGCTGGAGCAGCAGCCCCTGTCTAAGGGAGATTGTGGGGGATCCCAGATCGCGCTGGATCCGAGACATTTAAAATGCAGAACTGCAACAGTCTCAGACCCAGTGCGAGCTGGGACAGTGAGCACCTTCCCTTGTTGACTAATCATGTAGTTGATAGAAATTGCATCGACTACATGATTAGCCAATTACTCGCCTCTTAACATACTTAATATGTCACACTAGAAGGTTTACCTGGTGTTGCTGTGTCTCTAAAATACATAGTAGATAAAATATTCATTCCAATGTTGGGCATTTCTCGTATATACTGAAATTCATATTCTTTTGGCCAACAATATCCTTTGAGGCCATATCTGCACCTTCAATGTCTTCATCCCTCCAACCTGAAGACATAAAGGATGGGCCAACCCCCAGCCATCCCTTAATTCTTTCTTATTGACTCTGGCTAGGAGTTGGAACTTGCAGTGTCTATACTACTTGTTCACGGTACAGCCTGTTGAATGGGCTGTACATTGATGGGTGTGTAGCAATTAGTCATTAAATTATATTAATCATTTTTGATAGTTTCTTTTCCTCTTTTGAGGAGATGAAAATTTTTCCTTTATCTGTAGGACTTTCCTGGTATCAAGTCCATCCATTATGATTTAAATTCAGAGTTGCCTTGTATACAAAGTGGTAGTGAGTCCTCTAATGGGCACAGTTGGTGCTTAGTCTGGCTTGGTAAGGGGCACATACTATGCACTATTATAAATTGTTTTCAAAGAACTCAAAATGCAAAAATCCCACCTGAAGTAGCTTCTGCTGGAGATGTTGATGCATGCATCAGATCCTTAAATGGCTAGGGCGGAAAATCCTTAGCAATTGTCCTCACTTTTTCCATCAGTTCTTGTGTTCAGATCAGAAATGGGAACCTCTTAAAAATTCATCCTCCTCTAGTACTACAACCTCTGGGGAAGAGAACAGAGCCCCCAAAGGAGAGAGTTCTAGGTCTCCTTCACCAAGTCCTACTCCTAGAAGCCAGAAATTCTCCCAAATTGCCTTTGAGAAGGGTGGTTCAATACCCAAAAGTAGTCCCTCTGGCACTGCCTAAGTCACCAGACACTGTTCCAGGACTGGCCTCTTTGGTACCTTGGAAATTTTAGGTATTGACACCTTGTAGTGATGTTAACTACTACTTTGGTTCTGATGTCCTCCATTTGTGCATCTCCAGTACTAGCACACCCCATGCCGAAACTCTGCGCAGAGTTAGGGAGTAAAGGATTTCTGTGGCACTGGATTCTACGCTATGATCTGTAGTAAAAGTACAGTTACCAGTTCTGAGTGTATTAGCAATACCAATCAGGACGTGGTTGGAGGGCTTGTCTCTACAGCGAGTTAGGGCGTATCTAAACTACGCGGAACAGTCAAAAGAGGATAAATTTGCATGTCTTCTTCCGATTGCACTTTTGAAAGCAGAGCTTTCCTAGCATTTCATTTTTTGAGGTTTATGTAGCTTTTCGATAAAGGGGAGGGGTTCACCAAAAGCTCTGCTTTCAAAAGTGCAATCGGAAGAAGAGATGCAAATTCTTGCGGAATTTGCGTATCCTCTTTTGACCATTCCGTGAAGTCTAGATGAGCCCTTAGTGAGCAGCAAACTGGGGCGTAAATCTGCAGTGATCCAATGTGCTGCTCAGTAACTTTCTGTATAGATACTTTTGCTTTGCACTAAAAATGTCAATAAGTCAAAGTTTGTCACAGTGTGGAACTTCTAGTGTACAGCAGCAGCATCTCACACAAGCCCACTGCAGTGCTGTAGGTTAATATTGAAGCTTGCTGCTTACTAACTTGCTATATGTACAAGTCATGAGTGTGTTTCCGTTATTCCATCTGGTACTTCTCTCCCTTTGTAAGCGGAGTACTCCTCCTCTGCTGACTCAGATAATAGCAGAGAGGTGTCATCAGTTCATTCTATGAGGTCAAGATTTGTACACCTCAGAGCAAGTTGAGGGCTCACTTTTATTACCCCAGACATAGAGCTCTGAGAAATACTCCCTGGTATCTGTCCCCATGTGTCTCTGCATCAAGTACCTATCAGCACCTAAGGGTTTATTGGGCACCATGGGAATTACATCAGGCCTAAAGACCAGTTCTGCAACCCAGTTCACAAGTGAGCCCTACAGTCAAACTACAGCTCTTTCAGCAACACAATCCGGCCTGATAAGGACTTGGAACAGACCTCCAACTTTCCTAGCACCCATTTTTTTCATCTCTACTTTCCACCTCACTGTCTAATAACTTTGCTGGGTTAATGCCTTTACTCCTCTATTTTGATAAGGTTACACTGGATCTTCAGAACAACAATGAAAAATTTGGAGGTTTCCTGCGATCAGCTCTGGATGTCCTCTCTCAAATTTTGGAACTTGCAACTCTTCAAGACATTGGAAAGGTGTGTTTATTTAATATAATGTGAAATTAGCTATATTTGACATTAATTGGTGCTTGATAAGGCTGACAGGTATTGGGGTCAATGACAAAATGTTGGGTTGCACAGTAAGTGAACTTCATGGGTGTTGTTTCTTTATTTCATATGACATTTGAAAAGTAATTGTGGCTGGGGTTAGTTCTGTGATTTGTACCTCATCACAGTAACAACTTGGTGATTCTTTCATTTTCCATTTGTGGAGGAAATGTCTACATTTCACTAAATTAAAAGTGTATATGTGAGTGTGGGGGTCCTGTCCCGCCCCCCTTCTTTCTTCCTTGTCTTCTCTTCCCTTTTTGCTCGCTAGCTGCTGAATGGCCGCTGCCTCTAAAGTTTATTTCACTGGGCTGCGGTGTGGGGGTCTGGGCCCACCCTCACTCCCAGACCCCAGTCCAGGGCCCTAAGGACAGAGTCTCCTGGACCTGTCCCACCGGAGGGGGTATGTCCCCTTAACCCACCGGTGCGCCGGCTCCGTGCCCTGCCCTGGGCTGCTTCCACCTCGCCTCCTTCGCGCCTCTCCTACAACTGTCTTCTCCGTTTCCTTCTCCCCTCCCTCTCTCTCTTCTCCTGCCCCTCTCCCCCCTTCCTGGCACTTCCCTCGGGGCTTTTATCCCCCTCCCCCTTCCCTTCCCCCTGGGCTTCTGACGTCACTTCCGCCCCTGCCGTCACTTCCGGCCGCCATTACCCTGCGGCCGTGCGCCCCGCGTTGCTCAGCAACGGTTGCTGGCCCGCCGCTCAGCTGACGCGCGGCGGCACTACACAGCCCGCACGTGAGCAACTCCCATTGTGTTGCCCCCACTAGCGAGAAGGCAATCGCGGGGTCAATACAGGGTGGGCCTGTTTCGGTGGGGTAGGCGGGCCTCACCCTGTCACAGTGAGTTTACTGTGTAAAGAGAATTTATGAAAAACTGAATAATTTTGCATAATTAAAGTTAATACAGGTGATGTTGCTTACCAAGAAAGCTGGAGACCTTTTGAATCTTACTTTCATTATAGCCATATAATTATTCTATATTTATATTAACTGAAGAAAATCAGCAGGGTTGGTCTTTTTCCCCCAAGTTTGATATTTTCGGTTCTTAATTTAACTGGGCTGTTAAACTTGACCATATTTGACATGACATATAACAAGTTTGTATGAAAGTGTAGATTTAAGTTGTAATTTCCTGGTTTCTTTCTGGTACATATTTGTTTTTTGAGCCTGCAGTTTTTCATTTTTTGCTGTCTGAGAATTATGCAATAGTAGCTTCTGTTTCATTTAAATTGATTAAATTACTTTTAAACTTATGTTTAGTGTGTTGAAGAGATATTGGGATATCTGAAATCCTGTTTTAACAGAGAACCAATGATGGCAACAGTTTGTGTACAACAGGTAAGGAAGTAACTTTTGTTTGAATTTTGGGAGTGATAGTGTGGCACTGAGGATTCCTTTTGTTACGCCATTTTTAAATCACTAGTGTCACTTGTCCTAGAACCTCTTGTACCATCTGAATAGTTTCTCTTGACATGCTTACCTACATTGTTAAGTGTCAGGAAACAAATTATTCCAGTTATCTGGATGCAGAGTACATTTGAGAGTAGGAAGCATGGTTTAAAGCAGGGGTGCGCAACCTTTTAGCGGCCGTGACCCATGGCGGTCGGCAAAGTTGTCGACAAAAAACTCCCCCCAAAACCGCTGGTGTCTCCCAGCTGGGCTTCCATCTAGCCGTATCTAAGCGGCACTGAGCAGCCAGGAACAGACAGTGACATTCCTCCAGTAAGCCATCCACGGCCCCCGTGGGGCTTGCAACTGACCATACCTGGGAGCAATGCCATGTGGTCAGCAGCGGGCAGGAACATGCCACGACCCCCTGGGAAGGCATCGACCCATGGGTTGCGCACCACTGGTTTAAAGGACTGATAGGGAGTTGAGAGATCTGGGTACTATTTTTTACTTTTTCACAGATTTCTTGTGTGACCTTTGCAATCAGTCATAGGACCATTTCTTGCCCTTCTCCCTCCAAAGAAGCTGAGCACTTCTGGAAATCAGGTTTTTAATTTTTCTCTCCTTCAGTTTCCTCATCTACAGGATGATGATGCTCTACTTACAGTGAGATGGAGGCTAAATTCACTGATATTTGTAAATTATTTGGTTCTTGCATTAAAGGTTCAATAGAACAACGCTATTTTTGTAAAATACTTTTTATGGGTTTTTTTTATCCTTCAGTATAAAAAGGTTGAGGTTTATCTAGCACCTACATTTGGCTCTAATTTAAAAAAATACAGATGTAAACTTGCAGTAAAATAGTTAACTTTTATCAAATACTCAATTAGAGAATTAATACGTTTTGGAGTCCCACGCAAACTCCCAAATATGCCCACTCTGGATTGGATCAAAAGGGATTGTCTCTGGTGTTCTAGTATGACCTAGCAGGTAAGCACAAGTCAGCTATACATACTATCTGCCACAAGGAAAACTCTAGTTATGATACAGGTTATATATTAGTTTATAGGAACTAATGACAGGATTGAAAGATGTTTACTGGTGCAAAACACAATTTTTGTATAAAACTATAGACAAGTAGCTTTCATCAGAATCAAATTCAATACAAGTGATTAAGTTTCTTCTTTATTTTGCCTATTGAATGTTTGACTTGGTGTCAACAGCAAATAAATAATCTTGTTCAGGATAAACAAGCCATAAAACTCCATTCATATTTAAATACAAGTTTATTAAAAGCTATTTTAAAAACATAGGAACAAACATAGAAAAAAAGTTTTCATAAAATGTCTTACCAAACTGATTATACATATAAATGTCTGGGTTGGAGTTGCAGAGTTGAGTGCCTTGTGTTGGTACCTTGTAATCTAGCCAGAGTAAGGTGCAGTATCTTACTGCACTGGCGTAGAAGCAAGGATAAGAGTGAGTCTGTCTTAGTCTGTCACAGTTCAGTCTCTCCTCTTTTGCTGAATGGAGAAAGTAAGCTGCACCAACCCCTTTTCCATGGTGCACTGGCAATATAAAACTTTCTCTGTTACTGAAAGAATGCTTGTTGGGAGGGTGGGGGATTAAAGTTTCAGAAATGTTCATTTTTTTCACATTTTTCTTTAGATGCTGAAAACTTTATTCGGAACAAACTTGGCTTCTCAATATGATGGCTTATCTTCAAACCCCAGCAAATCTCAAGGCAAAGTCCAGCGTTTAGGCTCTTCTAATTTGAGGCCTGGTCTTTATCATTACTGCTTCATGGCCCCTTATACACACTTTACACAGGCACTTGCTGACGCGAGTCTAAGGAACATGGTACAGGCAGAGCAGGAACATGATGCTTCAGGGTAACTGTTTTGTTTTTCCTTCTGTGTGTGGCATGCAGACTTTCATAAAACTTATCGAAACACTCTAGCTGCAGACAGTCAATCATAAAATCTTTGTAAGTCCTGAACAGGACTGTTGTAAAGTTTATTGATGTCTTTTACATATTGAAATTACAATATACTGTCAATAGCAGGAACTTTTCTTATATATTCTTTTGAAATACCATAATGTATCTTATATTTACTAATTTGAACTTTGGTACAACACTGTATTCTGGATAGAACAAAACTTCTTCACAAAGCAAAGTGGTAAATGTACATAAGAACGGTTGTACTGGGTCAGACCAAAGGTCCATCTAGCCCAGTAGCCTGTCTGCCGATAGTGGCCAGCACCAGGTGCCTCAGAGAAGGTGGACCTAAGACAGCCTGCCATCCCTCTCCAGCCTCTGACAGACAGAGGCCAAGGACACCATTTTATCCCCTGGCTAATAGCCTTTTATGGACCTAACCTCCATGAAATTATCTAGCTTCTCTTTAAACTCTGTTATAGTCCTAGCCATCACAGCCTCCTCTGGCAAGGAGTTCCACAGGTTGAGTACATGCTGTGTGAAGAACTTTCTTTTATTAGTTTTAAACCTGCTACCCATTAATTTCATTTGGTGTCCTCTAGTTCTTCTATTATGGGAACTAATAATTTTTCTTTATCCACCCTCTCCACACCACTCATGTTTTTATATAACTCTATAATATCTCCCCCTCAGTCTCCTCTTTTCTAAACTGAAAAGTCCCAGTCACTTTAACCTCTCTTCATATGGGACCCGTTCCAAACCTCTAATCATTTTAGTTGCCCTTTTCTGAACCCTTTCCAAGGCCAAAATATCTTTTTTTGAGGTGAGGAGACCACATCTGTACACAGTATTCAAGATGTGGGCACACCATAGTTTTATATAGGGGCAGTAAGATATTCTTTCTTATTTTCTATCCCTTTCTTAATAATTCTTAGCATCCTATTTGCCTTTTTGACCGCCGCTGCACACTGTGTGGAAGTTTTCAGAGAACTATCCACGATAACTCCAAGGTCTCTTTCCTGATTTGTCATTGCCAAATTAGCCCCCATCATACTGTACGTATAGTTGTGGTTATTTTTCCCGATGTGCATTACTTTACACTCATCTACGTTAAATTTCATTCGCCATTTTGTTGCCCAATCACTCAGTTTGGTGAGATCTTGTTGGAGTCCCTCACAGTCTGCTTCTGTCTTGACTATCCTAAACAGTTTGGTATCAACTGCAAACTTTAGCACCTCACTGCTTACCCCTTTCTCCAGATCATTTATGAATAAGTTGAAAAGGATTGGTACCAGGACTGACCCTTAGGGGACACCACTAGTTACCCCTCTCCATTCTGAAAATTTACCATTTAATCCTAGCCTTTGTTTCCTGTCTTTTAACCAGTTCTCAATCCAAGAAAGGACCTTCCCTCTTATCCCATGACCATGTAATTTACACAAGAGCCTTTGCTGAGGGACCTTGTCAAAGGCTTTCTGAAAATCGAAGTATACTTTATCTACTGGATCCCCCATGTCTGCATGTTTGTTAACCCCTTCAAAGAACTCTAATAGATTAGTAAGACATGATTTCCCTTTACAGAAATCATGTTGACTTTTGTCCAACAAATTATGTTCTTCTACATGCCTCACAATTTTATTCTTTACTATTGTTTTGACTAATTTGCCTGGTACTGTCAAGCAGAAATACAGCCTTTGCATATATCTTAATTTGGTAGGGATTCAAAAGTGTTACCATGTACATGGTTAATTGATGAATTTGGGCTCATTGATTAACCTTCACAGTTACAGGCAGGCTCTTGGTACACAAAGGGAACTGGCTCTGCACACAATGGTTCCCGGGGAGCCACCTTCCCCACTCTCCTCCCCGCACGCCCTCTGTATCAGAGGCAGCAAACAAGTGGGAGCCTGTGCATGAAGTGAGCCAGCTTAAAATTGGTTCTCTACGTTCACCAGCTCCCAGGGAGCCCACTCTCCCTGCTGCGTGTCACTGCTGAAATTTTTCAGTTGTTACATGTTAATTAACCACATGTTAACATCTCTAATATTTAGAAGAAATTGTTAAGGTTATATATTTGCTATTTAATAATAAATATTAACTTTAAACCAACTGTATTAATATCATTTTTTGCTAATTGACATTCATGTTGAGTCTTAATAGAGGCAAATAAATGGAGACAGAATTCTCCTTTCAAGTCTGCAGCTAGTCAGGCTACAAATATATTAGTAGAATAACACAGGAAAGTTTGCATTGCTTCTACCCTTGATGTACAGTAAATGTTCCATAGATAAGTGAGTTTGTACACTCTAATTATCTGTTTGTTAAAATACTTAAAGTGAATTTTTAATTTTCTCTTAGCTAACTAAAATACTTGAAACAATCAAGCCCTATTACAAAGCTAATGCTAGTAAATAAAATAGTAGGGAGTGTGCATGTAAGAATTTTCTCAAATGTATCCCTTAGTTGTATTTTTTTATTTTGATAGATGGTTTGATGTTCTGCAGAAAGTTTCTACGCAACTGAAAACTAGCCTTACAAGTGCAACAAAACATCGTGCTGACAAGGTATTTAAAATATGTACTTAAACAGTAAAATGAAAGAAGGGGTAAAATTTACCTTTTATCCACATGAAGTTATATTTTAACAGTTCATTTTTGAACAGGAATCTTTCACAGGCAATATGTGGCTTTAAACTGTTTCTTTTTCTTTTTCACAGAATGCTATTCACAATCACATTCGCTTGTTTGAACCCCTTGTTATAAAAGCTTTAAAGCAATATACAACAACAACATCGGTACAACTACAGAGACAGGTTTTAGATCTACTAGCACAGTTGGTTCAGCTACGTGTTAACTACTGTCTTCTAGATTCTGACCAGGTTAGTCAAACTGTCTACTCTTTTTGGACAGTTCATAATAGATTAGACCATTTTAGTTCTTATAGGGACACTTTCAAGCTAAAATCTTACTGTAAAAATAATGACCTTCCTTGGCCTACTAATAGCACCATAGATGAGAACTATGATTTAAAATTGAAATTACAGAAATTATATTTCTCTCTACAGGAATATGAAGATCATTATTTATCTCTACAGGTTGAACCTCTCTAGTCTGGCATCCTGGTGCCCTGATCAGTGCCAAACCAGACAATTTTTGGAACCACAGAGGTTCTATATTGTCTAGCAGCATTATCAACACTTCCACTGCTTACTGGGCTCTTAGAAGACATTTAGGGGTAAATTAGAACTAAATAACAGCACAGAACACATTGTCAGGACTGGTGTCTGTAAACAAACTTTATGGGAGCACAGGAAACTTGATCACATCCATGGTAAGTGGACATCCAGTAACTAAAATCATGCAAACCACTGATGTTACCAGATGTGTGCTGGACTAGAGAGGTTCAACCTGTAGTTCGGTTAATCTTTTTCCCTTTTGATTATCATGCACTCTAGCATATGGGTAAATGTTTAAATCTGCAGAACTATTAATTTAATAATCATTTCTAAATTATCAACTTCCATTTGGAAATATAACAGCCTATCACACTGCTAA